CTTTTCCCTGGCTTCTCAAAATGTGAACTGCCTCTTTTCTTCTCATAGGTAATTATTGGCTTATTATTGGCTCTATTGAAATATTTCTCAAATAATTGTTCGCCATCTATATGTTATACAAATGCTAACTTATGTACATCACTTGTTCATCACAAGAAGGAAGTGTTTGTGTAATTTTAAATCAAGCTACTTTCAGTCAGATAATCGGCTTTCAAACAATCATACTTGTATATCCTTCTAATTGCGGCATTGGCCTCATTCATATCGCCTTTTCCCTAGTTCCAGTTTAAGGTCCCTCCAAAATTTCCGTTGGTTTCCTTCTTCTTCACTCCACTTTAGACAGACATTGTGTCTTACCATAAGTTTAAGCTTATGTGACATATCTTTCTGTGGTATGTGCTCCATCAGAATAACTATGAGTGTGTGGCGTTTGGTCTGGGTGAGCATATCTATAGCAGAGTCCATTTCAAACTCATTCCATCCCTCCTTCATCCAGCCTCGTGTAACCAGGAAAATAATGTGGCGGCTACGGTCCATGTGGGACATTAATCCACCAAAGTAGGACTCTTGTCCTGGAATAATGTTATCATCATGTATCAATGAGAATTGAACATCCCCGTTAGTCAGTTCTGGTGTCATCACGTCACGTACCCATATGCGTTTCTCAGAATGGTAACTGATAAAAGCATCATATATTTCATTGTCTTGGATGACATCATCATTTGGGATATCATTTTGGATACCATTTTGATCACCAATTTGAATGTACCCATTGTGCCGTTTTGCTCTCCTGACCAGCTGCATGTATTTAATGTCTCTCCAGAAATATTTCAAAAGTGAAGCAGATATTATTCCGACCAGAATTACACTGCTAATTGAAAGAGAGATGATTCTAACAAAGGCGTTCATGTTGCATTGCACCCATGTTAATTCAAATGTCAACAGTTCATCATGTGTTGGCCCAGTGGAAGAAGCACAAAACCTATCATGAGTGACCCAT